GTTCTGTTTTCAACGTGGAACTTCTTGAGTTCATCCTCGGTGAGTAGAAGGCAACTATTATGTTCGGGATATTCCTGCCTTCCCACTGCCTTTAATCACCTGTGCTCTGCTTCTAGAGAGTGGGACAGGACATCCTGTTCTTCTACCCTGGGCAGAAAGAGACCGTTCCAAAGACAACCTTGTTCTCCATTTTCCCTCGGTTCATGTGTGACTGCCCTCCTCCCTGCCCCCTGCTCTGATCCCCAGCTTGTCCGTCTCTACTTTCTGAGCAGTCTCCATTTTGTTCATCCTTCAGAGTCTTCAGGAACTCACTCTTCCTGTTTGTGGTTCATCTGGTCGATTTGGTCAGGAGAGAGGAACTGAACTCAACCAGAGGAGTAGTACTGGAGAAACTCTCTTTGGAAGAGTTTAGAACAGTCACCAGCAGCTAGTGCCACTGGTTTAGTAACAGAAATTGGATTAGTGAAAGCAGAGTCCCAGCTAGAGGAAAGGGATCCAGCTTTTATGTTCCATTCTGTTAGCTTTCCATGTGTTGGGCTTAGAGGGAAGTAGCGTAGGTTTAGGCACCAAGTTCTTGTAGCCACTCGGGACCATGTTGACAGTTTTTTCCATTTTTGCATGGTGGGATCCTTAGTTGCTGAATGCAGCAGAAATGACAGCAGCAGGATCCTCTTTGGAATCTCTTTTCATGACTAGGTCTTTGGCACTAGGGGGGTTTTCCCATACTCCAGAAGGGGTTCCAACATCTGAATGGCTGATTCTGTTTGCCAGTCGCTGGATTCAAAGAAGGGAAGTCTTCCTCTTCGAACTTCAACTTTTCTACTTTATAATCTTTTTCCCCTCCAAACTACTATTGGTGTTTTTTTCTTGAATAGCACAGCCTTCCTGGGAGTAGAAGCTGCCATTCCAGTATCAATAGATGGTTTCCTGTACTACCTCTACTAGGTTGGCTCACAGCATCATGACTTCAGAAAGAACCATGGCGACAAGATAGATTCCCCATGGTTCCAGCATGTGCTCCCTTAGAGACATCAGAGTGAACAAAATCATGGAAGAGTAGGGAGGGTTGGTGTCAAGAATCTTCTGTAGTCCATAGAGGTCCATTGTTTAAAAAGTCATCAGAGGAATTATGTCAATGATGTCTTATTCCAAATCTGCCTTCTCCCCTGAATAGGTGTTCTCCATGTTTGTCAAATGTGGCTGTAGACTCATCTGACTGTGGCGTTGAGAAATTTTAGCCAAGCAAGGATCCTCAGAGTGTCACCTTTGTGGTCCTGTTTCCAAAGTTGCTAGCTTTATCTCCCGTGAAGTAGTCTGGTGGGCAGCACAAAGAAAACCGACTCTGTGCCTCTCATCCCCTTAATCATCTCATGTGCTCATCCTGAGTACTTAGTTCCTGACACTTTTCCTAGGGGGAAAGGGGAGGGGCAGGAAGAAGGGGAACATAAGTAGTTATTTGTTACATATAAAAAAGGGGGGAGGATGATAGAGGCTATGTCTATGTTTATCTCATTCAATTTCCTTGAGTAATGGCACTATAATGTTACTTAAATAGGCAAAACATGGACATTTGCACAGTGAGTGCAAATACTGTTCATAAAAAGGTCATGGCTAGAAAGACAAGTGGTCTCAGGTGAGGGCAAGAAATGTCATTAAGGTGATAGGACAAAACTGTGATAGTGAAGCACTGTAAGAGAGCTTCGCGCAATCAATTCCAGTGGAAAAGTGTCCACAACGAAAGCCTTTAAACCAGAAATCTCATTATCTTACAAAACTGCTTAAAACAGAGTGCACCCTCTCAGAGGCAAAGGGGAGGGGAGATGCAGTGAAGAACTCTTGGAGGGGGGACCTGGAAGGGAGGGCAGCATTTGCAATGTAAATAAACAAAACAATTCATAATAAAAAAGAAATCTCATTTTGTTCTTTTTTTTTGAAAAAGGAATCCAACAGAAACTTCATATATTTCTCCTGCCCCAGAATAGCAGCTTTCAAGGCAAAGTTTTTGGTATAAAGCTCCTAAATAGACACCTTCTTTGTTGGTTTTACTATTTATAAATTCAAAGAAAAATTATAAGTAGAAAAGATAAGGGCAAAGGAGAAAGAGAATTCCAAAATGAAGGGTTTTTCCTTATTAAATTTCGATATTGTTGATGCTCCAGTGTAGGGGGATGCTAGAGCGGTGAGGCGGGAGTGGGTGAGCAGGTGGAGGAGCACCCTCATAGAGGCAAAAAGGAGGGGTGAGAGGATGCAGGGGAAGGTGGGGGGTTGTGGAGGGGTAACTTGGAAGGAGGATATCATTTGAAGTGTAAATAAATAAAATGGTTAATAAAAAAATTTAAAAATTTCGATATTTCACTTGTTCTCTTCCTTCCCCCAAACTGAACTGAGCTTCCAGAAGTGATGTGAAGAACATTCTATTGCTTTAATTGAAAAGATCATTTTCTAATTTGGGTCCATCTCCATCACTACTCAAACATAAAAAAGGCCGTTGGCGTCTGTCAATCTTCTCACACCTCACTCCAGAGCCAGATGCCTCACCATCTCCTATCAGAATTAGGAAGCCAATGGCAGAAAGAGGTGTTTTTTGAGCCCTGCACACCTCTTACTCCTCCTTTCACATGCTCTTGTCCTCATGATCCTAATCTTCACAGAGTTACATTGCAGAGCAAATATATTTCTTATCTGACTTTTCTTCTAATTGCTCCTCCCAGGAGATCCCTCGTAGGAGAGGGGAAAGTCAAATGGATGAACTCACTTTATTCCATCTCTTGATGAACTCATATTTCTTTCTTTCTTTTTTTCTCTGCCTGGAAATTAGATGCCTGTGGTAGACTTGAGGTGCATATCATTACCTCATTCACTAGGTATAAATGTAACCAAGAATGGTGTAGGGCAGTGACAAATAGAGCATTTAAGCTATGAGAGAAAAATAATCACTGTAAGGAAGCAAATTCCAAGAGCTGGAAACTAGGAGAAATAGTCACAAAATCTAATGTGACCTATAAAAGCAAATTAAGTTGATGAAGGAGTTTTATATCAATCAATCAATCTGTCTTTCATCCGATTCAGAAATTATAGGTCTGAAATATAAAGATACTAGAACATTTAACAATCCTTGTCCAGATATAAAGACTATATTATTCATAGTGGGCAATTGGTTCTGTAAACACTGAAAAAACTTGCCAAGATTGTTAAAAAGCAATATGAGCACCTGGAGTCAGTCCTCCTCGAAGACTGCTGGCTATCATTAGGGAAATAAGATGCCCAAGACAATCATCTTATAACCTCATCTTAAAAGTGACATCCATGACTTTTGGCGTGTAGTTTTCTTTAGAGACGAGCCAACCAGTTCAGCCTACAGTCAGGGAGAGAGGATAACAGGAAGGCAGGACTAATGAGGGGGAGGAAAGTGAGGGTGAAATTACAGGTGTTGTGTTTGTGTCTTCTTGAAACTCTTATGCTAAAATCCTAACCCTCAAGGTGAAGTGGTTTGGAGATGATGTACCAAGACAGTAATCAACAGGAAAAGTAGGGTTCTTTTAGGTGAGAATAGTGTCCTGTTAAGATGTGAAATAAAGGCTTGATTGCATGCTCTGCTCCCTGACATGTGAGCATGTGATAAGAAAAGAATCAGCCACAAACAGAATTCTCAGTAGGTACGGCATGTGTTGGCACCTTGATCTTGTATTTCTCTGCCTCTAGAACTATGAGAAATAAATGTCTATTGTTTAAGCCACCTACACTATGTCATGTTATAGCACCTTGATTTAAGACAGAAATCACCTCAAAAGCTGCCTACTGTAATGTTTCTACTGTATATAGGGTCAGTGGGAGCACATGTATAGGGACAGTAGTGTTATGCATTATAAACAATGAACAATAAAGTATATATACATATATATAATATATTATATACATAAATAAGGTGTGTGTGTGTGTGTGTGTGTGTGTGCGCGTGCCTGTGTGCGTGTGTGTTAGAAACATATGGTCCCTGCAGAGAACAGATTCCAATCACAAGTTGTATGGATAATGAGCTGATTTTGAAAGGGACAATTTATAAAGATAATGATGAGTGTAAGGAAATTGCAAGGAGTAGGGCTTACAACAGCCTGACACACCACCATCCCTAAGTATGAAGCAGTAAAACAAAGGAGAAATGAGAAGGTCTAGGCTAGGGTGTTTACATGTGATGACATGTTTTTGTTTCAGCATATAGTGGTCTTGTAGTGTCTCCAGGGAGTTCTGGTGCCAGGTGATTGTATGAGCACCTTTACTTTATTATTGCTGTCTCCTACAGAACTATCTATTTGCTGAATCAGAGGTAATGGGGTCTTTGCTATAGTCAGTACTGGTTGGCCTCTAGAACATGTAGCATCATGGACAAAGTACAGAAATGAGTTGGAGAGACAGAGGATAGTACATAAGTGTACATAAAAGGAAAATCATATTCATAGTAGACAGGAATAAACAGACTTGAATGAATAGGCATTGCTCAGAACAAGTTAAGTGGGGGAGCTTGCTGATAGAGGAGGGTATTTAATTTCAAAAACAGGCTTTCAAATAATTGCTCCTCTGGAAGATCCTTAAACTCTGGAAACGCATATCCACCTCCGTAAAATGACTTGAGGGAAAAAAAAGTGTCCTGATGAAAGGAATGTGAGTGGCTAGGATGGCTTTGAAGGGCCCTTGTAATTTGAGGATTCAGTGTTCCAGGAGCAATGGAAATCAGGGAACAGGACCTCCTGCAAAATATTCACAACTCTTTGAAATGGAAATCAGGCTGTTCCAATTTCAGAATCAAATTAAAGCAAGTATTCAGGGTGTTAGCAGGCAGCGCCTGAGCCTGTTTGAAGCAGCCCATAAGGGAGGGAAGCGTGCTTTTCCCTGGATGAAGCAGGATCTCGCTCAGTCTGTTTCCATCTTTACTTTTAGCACCTGCTGGCTTGGAGTGGTGTCGCGCAAGCAATCAGACAGTGGGTGGACGTGCCAAGAGCCTGACCTCCCCATGTCTGCTCCCCCTCCCCCTAAAACCCATGACCGCCTGTCCTGATATAGATGGGACCTGGGACTGGTTTAAAATGACAGGCTCAGGTTCTTTGAGGAAGAGAAGTCTAATTCAAAGGAGCAGCGAGACAAGCTTTCCTTCTCTGCAGGAATAATTACTATTCCCCTTCACTATGGCCCACCTGGGAGCCCATTTTGCCTTTAGATCTCGCTGGCAGAAGACTGACGATGAACTCTGTCGTCATAGCATGTCCTTTATACTCCACAAAGCCATTCGAAATGACTTCTTTCAGAGCTACCTCTACCTGCTGGAAAAAATTCCCCTGGGTAAGTGAGTCAGAGTTGCTGGATGAGGGACAAGAAGGGAGTGGATGGGTTGTATGAAGTCATTTGACGGCCTGGAGAGATGTAAGACAGGGGGCTTTTCAGCTAAGGAGAACCCAGACCAGTGTCAGTGGGCGAAATGCTTCAATGACGTTCTTTTATGGAGAGGAGAAGATGGAGTGCTGCCTGGCAAGGCTGAACTCTCTTTCAGGGTTTTCATGGACCCCTAGGCATAGTGACTCGCTGCTCTAGGTGTAAGTTGAGGGACTATGAGGCTTAGAGGAACTCAATTCTTGAGTTGTCAATGTTGTGTTTTCTTCTTGTACAAGTTGGAAAGTTAGGTTACTCAGAGTTGAGACTATTCATGTTGTGTTATACAAAAGCTGGAAACAAAGATTACATGATGAGGGGTCAAAACATGCCTGGAGCATGCATGCATGTGTAAGTGGTATGTGTGCAGAGAAGGTAGTGAAGGTACGTGCATGTGTGTGTGTGTGTGTGTGTGAGTGTGTGTGTGTGTGAGTGTACGTGCTGAGTATGATCTGTTCTGGGCTATATCACACACAAGTATCATCAGAGAACCAAGAAAGCTAACTGTAGTTTGCATTTTTGGTATCAAGGGGTAGTAGTCTTCCTTCATTTTTGCTTTTCCCCTAGTTTCAGGGAAATGGGACAAGAGAGCTTATCAGGTATGCTGATAGCATGCTTTTCCACCTGTGTGAAGGTAGCAAACTTCAGGACCCTCTAACCAGCACTGAAGAGGAAACAACTGAGGATTAAACCGTGAAGTGCCCCCTTCCTGTCTCTTTGATTTCTATTTTCTTCCAGTGAAAACAAGAATGCCATTTCTCAGCCTTGGTCTGTTTGCTTAAGGTTGGCTGAAAGCCCCATTGTACACTTGCACTGGCCCTAGTTTCCTGCTGTGGAAAGAACTACATAGTTCTTAGTGTTACATCTAAGAATCTGGATGTTAGCAGGCATCAAAGTCTTAGTTTATAAAATTACTTCTGAGAGTTTTAAAATAGCCCTATAGTTATGCTCATCTTCTTTTTATATAGCTTTCATATGAAAACATCTCCACCTACGCTATGGGCAAATATCACTCCTCTTCCCCTCATTTCCCTACTTCATCCCTACAATTTTATTTTCTAAGTGAAAGAAAGAAAATTCCAAGCTGTATTATGTATTTAGAGAGAGCAACACCAAAGCAAGTTGAAGGCTTCTTCCATTATGATAAATGTACCTCCGTCATCTTACGAGAAAAACTGGACTGATCATTTGGAAAGTTATAATGCCCTGGCACCTCCAGACATAGGCAAATCACTAGCTTCTGGGGAACAGTCTTCAGGGTACAGTTCAGTAAGAGTCTTCAGCAACAGTGTGTGATTTAGACTGGAGAAAGCTATGAATTATAATAGCTGAGAAGAGATTAGTGGACAAATGACAGACAGATTTTAAAATGGTTACCAGACAGAAAAGGGACTGGTTTCTAAATGCAGCTGTAAATCAGTTAAGTATAAAAGAAGTTCTGCTCAAAATTAGATGAGAATTAGTTTGAAATAAGCTGTCTACCAGTTACATTTGGTCTTAATTTTTTTGTTTCGTTTTTGTTTCTTTCGGGACAGAGTTTCTCTATGCAGCCCTGGTTGCCCTGGAACTCTGTCTGTAGACCAGCCTGGCCTTGAACTCACAGAGATCTGCCTGCCTCTGACTCCCTAGTGCTGGGATGAAAGACATGTAACACCACCACTGCCTGGCTATCTTTTCATAATCGAATGTAATCATCTTGATTTTTACAGTGTTTTTATTTTTATCCACTTTTCTCCTTCATGAGTGTGTGAATGGGTGATTAATAATTTGCAAAAACTGATATTTTAGACAAAATAGTCCATTGAAGTCCAAAGTAAAATGAAGGGAAATGTGTAGCATTTTTGGTTAGGTTTAGAGTTTGGGTGTTCTTGCCTCACCAGTGGCTTCTGAAAAGCTAGGAGGTTTCCTTTTATGAGTGAAACTGGAATAAAATCAGTTTACTCCAGGTCAAAGTCAGATTTATCATTACTTACCTCTCCATAAATGAACACTCCTTATTATTTCTATTCTGATCATTCAGCCTGGGCATTGGTTTTCTCTGAGAATCAGTAAGGTAGTTGTATCCACAATACCTCTGTGACAACAATAATTGAGGTTGATATTAGCTGGTGTGAGTTAGGCTCTGCTGCAGTAACAAATGAACTCTGAGATATCATTGGTTGCATCCATGTATTTATTCTTAATATCATTTTTTACATGCCTTATAGGAATAGGGATGCAGGATGACACAATCTCCATCAGCCAGATAACACTATTCACCAAGGCAAAGGAAAACAGTTGTGGATAGAGTTGTAGGCTGTCTGGTAGCTTTAAATACATTAGCCCAAAATGACACACATTACATTTGTTTATAATCTATTGCCCAGAAATATAAGATTATGTGTGATTATATATATATATATATATATATATATATATATATATATATATATATATATATATATAATCATTTAGTACTTCTGTTATGAAGAAAACCCATTG